CTGAGCAGGGATGGAGGCTGGTATGACCCACCAACAAATAACAGGCCACATGAAGCATCAGGGCAACAAGACTGGAGACAGGCACAGTATCAAGATACCATAGGATAAGATGGGATGGAAACATGCAGCATCTCATTGGCCCTGTGGTAATTCCTCATGTGCACCATACTCCACAGTAAATGCAAGATAGGAAAGTGGGTGAGCTATCTTCAGGTTAGGAGTGTGCACGCAGGCTGTTGTTGCAGGATAGCTAATGCACCGTAAGTTCACATTCTGCTTTGTCTCCTGGTAACTGCCCATACTCTTATCCTCAAGCATTTGATATGGGCAAGTGGCAACACTTAAAAATACATGGCCTACACTTCACATGGAGTCCAAATTGGAACATGCTTCAGCATATTTCCTGGCTAAAGTAAATTTCCAAATGCTCCTAGTTTTCCAAAGTAGAGATAAATGCTGATATCCTTTAAGAACCCCCTCTTTGCATCCAGCACATATTTTGCCTGGTACACACAGCCTTTTCCCAAATCCCAAACAAGATCCAACGTTCAGTCCCTTTTAGGTGGATCAATATCCAGGGCACCGCTACTCTCCCCATCTGGATTCCAGTCTCTGCTCACAGTTCACTGTGCATCAGAGCTCATATCAAAATTGGGCTGGGGGCTTAAAAATTAAAGGAGAGCATTCCCTTCTTTATGTTGGTGCTATTCTAGAAGTCCGGAACTGGGGCTGCACAACCAGGATGTACTTCATCACTTCTTGTGGTTTGTCCTCAGTGCAAGGAGCATTTGAATGAGATCAAGCAAGGATTCACTCAGACTGTACAGTTAGGCACAGTGGCAGCATGTGAATGCAGCTCAAGTTTTTGTTTAGGTGTCACTGGGAAATAAAAAGGGACCTCCATTCAAAACTCTGAAATCCATACCCATGGGGAGGGGGGAAGGGATGTCAGGAACAAGCTTCAGATTCATAATCAAAAAGCCTGGCAAGCCTGTGAACTTGAATTCAACCTTAATCCCTGCCAGCCAAGCAGCTGCATTTGGGTTTCTTTCCCATGTCCCTTTGTTTCACAATCCCCCCCTGATGTGCACCACACTCAGGGCTTCTAGTCTACATAGTACTGACACAAATAAAAGCTTTAAGAGTTCACCTTCTGCTCTAACTAAAGTCCATCAGCTGTTTAGTAACAAGCTATAATGGCCCTAAGCCAAGACTAATATGGAATCCCCAGAACTCCCCACCATGAAATTATTTCAGTGAAAGGGCTCTGCTGCAAAGCTTGGCTCTCAGTCTGAGCAATCAGAGACCTGTTACCTTTTGGCACCTGCCTCTTAAGGAAACCTTGGCCTATCTTGGGGCCTTGACACCAGTGTGGCAACACAAGTGATAACTTTGCTGTCAGGGGAAGCCACAATGGTACCAGTCCCATTTTGTGCCGATGCAGCATCTCTCCCAGAGTTTCCATATATAGGAAGGAAGGAGGAATTAACTTCCCTCAAGCCTCCAGGCTGCAGGAGCCAGATGGATCTGGTTCAGGTAAAATTTGATACATTTTTTATGCCCACACCTGCAAGTAGTTGACTGCACTGAAGGGAACCATAGAAATAATCCTACTTTGCCATTTCAGAGAGACTTCCATCTAGGGAAAGCAAAACAATTTATATACATTCATTAATTAGCCAACATCCTGGAATGGAGGAAAAGGTTGTTCCTGTCATTTTACAGCTCATTAACTTCAGCAGGTTCAATAACTTAGTCAGGCTCAAGCAGCAAGTCAATAGCAGAGGCAAGAGCCGAACTAAGGAGTCCAGAGTTACTTTTCTTTAAAGTATTATTGGGTTCAATGAAGGAGGAACTGGGACATGTTCTCTGGCCTCTGACATACTGGAGGACAACCAGATAAACCAACAGTCCCTTGTAGCTTTAAAAAAGTGGTCACAAACTGGTCAATCATGATCAACTGGTCGATTGTGGAGCCTCTCACAGTCGATCTCAGTCTGGGGGGCTGAGAGTGTGCATGCTCAGCCCCCCCAGACTGAGATCAGCCATCAGAGGCTCCACGATCGGGAATGGCTGGATACACGTGGGGAGTAGCTGGGACGCAGTCCAGGAGTGGCAGGCCATACGAGCAGCGGGACAGCGATGGGTTGCACGTAGCTGGGCTGAGCCACACCCCCTGCCACCTGGGCCAGGCAAGTGGGACGATCCCCTTCTGTACCCTGCCGCACCCGCTGCCACCAGGTGAGTGCAGCTCCGGCCAGGCTGGGGGAGGGTCAGAGCCCCGGCTGCTTGTCCAGGTGCGCGGGGGGGGCTCCCCTAATCTGTGTGTGGGGCGGAGGCAGCTGCTGCTGCGTGCTAGGCTTTATGCCCTGAGCCCCATGCACAGATCAGGTGAGCATGCACCCCCGGGCCTCCGCCAGGAGCCACATCTAGATGGGCAGCCCAGGCACCAACCCTCCCACCACCTGGCCCAGCCAGGGCCTCACTCATCCCTGCCACTGCCCCACTCCCTCCCTCACCATGGGGGCCTTGATCTGCCCTTCCCCGACCCCCCACAGACTGACTTGCTGGGCAGTAGATCCTGGGTTGCCCTTTACTTCAAAAAGTGATCTTCTCCTTAAAAAGGTTGGAGACCACTGCTTTAAAATCTCTCATTACTGCAGTGCCCTACTCTGATCCCTAGACAACACTTGTATTCTCTCTGCTGTCTGTCCCCTGTCCCTGGGCGGGGAGCAGAGGGGATCTCTCACCCTGCCAGTCCTTGGTGCCCGCTGTTAGTGACCATTTGGAATGTTAGTGACCGTTTGGAATCCGCCTTTTGTTGCAATCGTGCGACTCCCCCCAGGCAAAGCATCAGGCAGTCTGATTAAAGCACTCACACTGCTAGAAAAGGACGGTGCTTTGAGGGGTCAGAAGGGAAAACTGCATGTGAGGCACGGTTACAGCACCTCAATGTTGAACCTGGATCGGATACAACTATTAAAACCTGTGCACATGGCAAAGCTCATATCACTTCCCAGCACAAGGCACAGCAACAGCAGGACCCTGACACACACAGTGTCAGAGCAAGTGAACACCAAGGAGAGAGCCTCAAAAAAGGCACTTCTTCACCCCTTTTGAAAAACTGGGCCAGCTGAAGAATCAGGTTCCCATTCCCATGAGCCACAAGCCTGAAAGCCCTTAATCATCTGCTTCAAACCCATCAACTTCAACGGGACTTATGCATTCACTGGGCCTTACGGAAGAGCTTATCGGCTTTGCTGAACAGGGAGCGACTTTGCTGACTCGGGGCTCTAGGCAGCCAATGCAATGCGTACACAGCAGGTGTGCTGCTATCAAGCAGTCCAGACCACACAGCAGGTTAGTAGTGTTAGCACAAACAGCAGATAAACTGTTCTATAGTCCCCATGAAGGAGGAGTTAAATAAGAGGACAAATATAAGGGCACCCTGTGCAAGCTGTATGGCTGGAGAGAACACAGCACAACTCTTTATGCACAGCTGGTTTTAAAATTGATGTAGTCTCCGATGCAAATTAACCCTGAATGCATTTTCAGGTTCGAATTTAGTCTGGCTTAGGAGCTCTACACTCAGGAGCTCCTTTCCAACTCCTGCCAATGCTACTGTACCTTCTACCCTCTGGTTAAAAATTACTGTCACCATCACTGTACAGGGTGGAACTCAGCTATGGTAAATCTCCCCACAGAGAAGCGACAAGAAATCTAATTCAGTCTCCTTAACCCATGCTACAGGGGACCTTCACTTCTCATGGGCTGGTTTCGACGTCAGTCTCAGAGTTCTCTGTTCTCATCCCCTGCTCTCACTGAACAGGAGACAAGAGAAGTTTCCACTACCCTAGAGGGAGAGGAAGAAGTCCCATTTCCTAGTCTTGCTGAAATCACTTGCTAGAAGCACTACAAAAATCACCGTGGCTTGCCACTTCTCTCAGTGGTAAGTGCAGTGATCCTTGGCTAGCCACAACCCTTTGCATTACAGAATTAATTAATTTACAGGAAGGCATTTGCTTGTTTCTACAAATTCAGAAATAGAAAATAAAAAACCCAGATATGAAATGCACAAACTTAGCAACAACAAAGAAACAAAGAACTGCCAGAGACTAAAAAAAAGGAAAAAAAAGAACATAAGACTCCTCTGGATATTGACTCAGGTTAACAGATCACTCCTGATGGAAAATAAATATCTGCCTTCATGTACATTTTAGGGACTTGGATGCATCTTTAAGTGATATAGTTATCTGATAAGTTGGATTTTCGAATAAATAAAGTTAAAAAAAAAATCAACTACCCATGCCAGTGATATCAGCAATTCAATCACCAGTGGCAGCAAGATGGCATTGTGCTATAACAGGGGCTTTCAACCGTTTTTTAAGCAGGGCACCCCTTCTGGTGGGTACCCCTTCTGGACGCAGAGCTGTCAGGCGCTGATAGACAGCCAGACACGGTGTCTGCCACGTGGAGAACTTGCATGTGGCTGCCACTGCCATCTATACACACCACATCACCGCTGGGCGCCTCTTTCCCGCGCCCAAGTATCCCCGCTTCTCTGCACCACTGGCTTCATGTCTGGCCATCCGTCAGCACCCCCTCCCTCCCCCAGTGCGTGGTGGCAGAGTGGGGAGCTTGCACGCAGCAGCTGCCCCCACTGCCATCTATACGCTCAGTGCTGTCGCAGTGCACCAGGGACGGGAGCAGATGGTGACAGCCAGCCACACATGAAGCCAGCAATGTGGAGAAGCAGGGATACTTGTGCACAGGAAAGTGGCACCCGGCAGCAGCACAGAGTGATGGATGGTGACAGTGGCCCTGCCCCATGCCGCTTTCCTGTGCCCAAGTATCCCCACTTCTCTGCGCCGCCAGCTTTGCATGTGGCCGGCCATCAGCACCCCCTCCCTGCGCAGCGATGGCTCTGAGTGTATAGATGGCAGCAGGGGTTGGGGGGTGCTGTTGGCCAGCCAGACGTGAAGCCGGAGGTGCTGACAAGTGGGGATTCTTGGGCATGGGAAAGCAGCATGCAGCGCCTGGCATCGGTGGCATGGCGTGATGGATGGAAGTGGCCCCGTCCCCTGTGCTTCTGCTTCCCAGGTATCCCCGCTTCTCTGCACCACCATCTTCGCATCCAGCTGACTGTCAGCAACGCCCCTTTCCCCCCCAGCCGGCAAGACATCAGTGGCACAGAGAAGCAGGGGTACTTGGGTGCGGGGAAATGGCACGTGGCAGCAACACGGAGAGATGGATGGCGGTGGCAGCCCCACCCCCCATGCCACCACTTCCCAAATACCCCTGCTTCTCTGCACTGCTGCCATGTACCCCTAGGGCTTCCCAAGTACCCCCAGGGGTACACATACCCCCGGCTGACAACCCCTGTGCTTTAACATACACGTATGCTCTTTGCCCTTGCACTTGACTCTGGGTTCACATTTCCCCAGCTCTTCGCTAACTTGATTTGGAATCATGTGGAACAACTAATAGCTGGCAGGGCCTAATCAGGACCGTTGTGGCTTCTGTGGGCACAAACAGGCAATGCAGCCTGTGCTGGATCTAGATGTCCTCCATGCACCAATACAAGTGCGTCCACTTAGCTTCACGTGGAAGGAATGCAGGCTTCAGCAAACCCCTGAAGCAATACTGGGCTGTAGCTGGTATCAATCCTACTTTCCATTGGCCAATAATCTAGCAGACCAATACACTTTTACTTCACCACAAGAGAATAAGGTAAACGTAGTTCTGAGGAAGATTCAAGGCTGGGTTTGGGACCCACAGACGCATAGGACAATTGCTTTTTGGTGGCAAGTCGAGTCACAGTCAGCAGTTAACATGCTAACTGTAAAGAGAGGTCTGGCAGGTCCATGGAGTCAGAGACCACCCACCAGACATGTTAAAGGAGAACTTCCTGGGTAAGGAGAGGTGCTACAAGGAAAACTAATGATTCTCTCGGCAGGAAACACGGGCTCCCCATCTCGGAAGTGTAACAGCTGTCACTGAGAACCTTCCTACAGCGGAGGCTGTCAATGCCATGGGACCTCCCTGCCTTTCCTACCTTGCTAAGTGGGAGAGGATCCCAGTGTGGACAGTAGTTTTACTATCACATTGTCAGTGTAGCTCCCTGCAGCTTGCTGTCCTCCTTACCTTGGAGGGAAAAATGTTAAAAAGAACAATGAAGTGGGGGGAGAGGAGGAAGAGAAAATGCTACTTACCGTCTGTGCACTCGTTCTGAAGCAGAGATTGCAGCACCTCTGTGGCGTGGGTCTCTACACTCCTGCTCTCTCTTCCCCTATCAAAGGAGGCAAGAGACAGAAGTCTTTAGCAAAGGGGCATATGGACAATTATGCAGGGCTGTGAGAGCTCTCTGTGCTCGGAGGTAAGTTAGAAGACAAGAAGTTCCCCATACTTCCTGCCACACCCAGGATATCCTCAGAAAAGACAGCTCTTACCCCTGTTACCACAATCCAGAAACAAGCAGTTCCTGGCCCTTGCTGGGATGATTCTTTCACCTCTGACATTTGGTCAGGCTGTTATCAACCCTGGCTGTCAAACAAATGGAGATGGCTCTCCGAGATCAGCGTGGCAGCGCATACTACTTGAAAAACAGAGTGGGCTGCACCACTGCCAAGAAGCAGAACTACCTCCTGCAACAGTAGCGCACATGACCACAAGCCACTGCCTGATCAGACTCAGTACCGACCGCATCCAGCCCTGTGTAGCAAGCGTACTCAAGAGGAAGCTTGTACACATTAACTGCAAGCAGGACCACCCCGCGGTGTGTAGTGCCTCAGTGGTGCTGCAATCTTAAAACCAACAAGCAAGCAGCTCTTTGGGTAAAGGTGGGGCCACCATGCTGCTGACTCCCACAGGAAGGTGCTTGTATGGCAGGCACAGCACATTCAACAGCACTAAAAGAAAACCACACCAAACTGACTCTCCAATACCTGGATTTTTCTAGGCTCTGAGGTTCCCTCTCACTGAAACAGACTTTTGCTGTGCTAAAAAAGTTCAGAACTTAGGCATAAAAATACCTCCCCTACATACACACAATTCTCTTCTCCTAGTGCATTTACATGTGGTCATGGAGAGCTGTAGGCATGGAGTCTGCTGCTCCACTAGGGATCATGAACATCCCAGCCCTTGCAGAACTGGCTAAGAGAACATAGCCATTGGGAATCCTGATGGTAAGCCTCTGCATGGCAATCGACGGAAAGCCGTGGTATTGGGAGATGTGTTGGTCTTCAACAGAATGGATTCCTACAGATCTCATGGTTCCTGGAGAGGGTTCTGCAAAGGTAACAGCAGGATCTAGTCAGACTGTCAGTCAGCCTGCTGCTAAGGGAAGCAGCAGAAGCCCTACCACCCTGCCATTAAAAAGAGAGAGGGGGAGATCACCTCTTCCCTATCAATAGGCCAAGGTTACTGCCCAGAGCCTACTTCTCCTACCACCTTCTCAATCAGCTTTACTATAGCCACATCAGCAGCTGTCCCAGCTCGGACATCCAGGAGAGCTGCTCTTATACCATTCCCTATCTCAGGAATTCAACTCAAATATACTCTCTCTCCTTTGTCATCACGGTTAAATTCTATTGTTATATCAAAATCTGTTGCCTCTCTTTGTAAGTTCTTGCAGCGCTCAGTCAATCCACGCAGTCTTCTGGACACTGTTCATCATCTGTAAATTGTCATTCATGCTAGGACCCATGGTCCTGACATTCCAGCTTCCCAGCCAGAAGGTTTTACAGTTTATTTTTGTTGCCCAGTACTTGATTTGCTGTCTGTTTTTCGACTTATTTGCTGCGTGGGGCTGGACCAAGAGGCAGGAAGATCATGGTGGGTCAACACCTTAGTGGCTGGCAGCTGCCCAGGTTAAGGCAGGTGGTAGCTGACCACTGGAACACAACTGGTTCCTCCCACTGACAAAGGTGACCCGTGGTACTCTATGCCAACTGAGTTGAGCTTATAACCCGTGACTACCCCTTTCTGTGTTGTGCCCATGAAAGTAGCAAAGATGGAGTGTCCTCTCCATTCAGTTTTGGCTGCAATGGCCTGGGCAGTTGATATGGAGACACTTTTTGCCCATATATTGATGCCCCCCTCTCAGCCTAGCTGGTTGACCCCAAAGGAAAGGCAAAAGCCAGTACATTTGGAGCCAGCTTGGCTGCACGAGCTGCCATTATGAAGGTCTTCAATCCATCTGCTTTTCGGGGCTCCGCTCCTAGACCAATTGACAACCAGAGCTGGAGAGCCCAATCTACCATGCCATGGCATCTGCCTTCTGGTACCATTTCTCAACCAGGGGTTAGAACTAGTACCATCTAGGTTGCTCCTCCACCCAAAGCTGTTGGCTCCATAGAGGTTGCTAGCCTATTTCCCGTTGCCCAGCTCTCAGCACTGACAGCTGCAGGTAGTGTCATAATGGTAGCAGACCTGGCTTGGGTGACCTGACCTGAAAAGGCTGGAAAAAAGAAAAGAAAAAAAAAGAAGAGCTGCAAAAACTTACCACTGACATTGCAGCCTTGCAGGAAACAAGAGGCTTCTCCTCCTAGGGGCCTTTAATGAGCAAGTAGGCACAGATCACAACTCCTCACCACCCTTCCTGGGACATCATGGTAACAGGAAAATGAATGAAAATAAACAACATCTTCTCAAACTCTGCGTCTTAAACCACATGTGTATCTCTAACACCTATCTGATGGGCAAAAAGCATCATGGAGACACCCATGATCTGACCACTGGCATCAATTAGACCTCATGATCACCAGGAGGAAAAGACTTGCCCAGTGTACTACACACTCATAGTTATCACAGAGTAGATTGTGACGTAAACCACACGCTTATTGTCAGCAAAGTGCAAGTGATACCAAAGAAGCTGCATAGAGCCAAGTCAGACAACATTTCAAAGGACCTTTGAGCTAGCTATGTCTATGAAAGCAACAACTGCAAATGCTGAAGGAGCTTGGAGTAAACTAAGAATAGTCATCCAGGAAACAGCCACAGAAGTATTTGGGGAAAATAAATTGTCAAATAAAGACTGGTTTGAGGCACACACAGAAGAGACGCTACCTTTTGTTGAAGCCAAGAACACAGCCTACCTGAAACACAACCAGAACCCAACAGAAAGTTCCAAGGCTAAGCTAAAGCATGTTAGGGCAATGGTAAAGAAAACAGCCAGACACTGAGCAAACCAGTATTGGATTGATTTATGTCAAGAGTTACAGTTTGCCTCAGATGCAAGAAACCTGTGAGTTATGTATGACAGCCTGAAGAAAGCTCTTGGCCCAAATGTCACTAAAGTCACCCCCCTCAAGTGTCAAGATGGCAAAGTAATAATCACTGACAAGAACAAACAGCCATGAGGCTGGACTGAACATCACTTAGAGTTTACTCCCATGAAACACATTTCAGAAGAGGCACTAGATCAACTTCCAACTCCTAGTATACTGACACAGCTAGACAAAGAACCTACAACTCAAAGAATTTAGCAAGGCCACAGACTTTCTAGCAAGCAGAAAAGCACCAGGGGAGGACACATCCCAGCTAAGGCTCTCAAGTGCAGGAAGGGTAGCCTGCTTCCACATCTTCATCAACTCATGTGCTGCGGGAAGGAAGGTCAAGTACCCCAGGACATTCATGACACTAACATCATCACTCTCTACAAGAACAAGAGAGAACAAGAGAGACAAAGGTCATCCTGATACACTTGCAACAACTTGCTGACCATATCTACCCAAAATCACAGTGTGGCTTCAGAGCAGGGAGATCAACAATGGACATTCATATTCTCCTTATGCCAACTGCAAGAAAAATGCAGAGAACAAAATAAGCCATTGTACATAGCATTTGTCAACCTGATGAAAGCCTTTGACACTGCCAGCAGAGCAGGTTTGTTCAAGGTCCTGGTAAAGACTGGATGCCCCCCAACTTTACTCAGCATGACATGCTCCATCCATGAAAACATGCAGGCCATAGTTCAGTTTGATGCATCAACTTTAACAGATTTGAGATGAGAAGTAGAGTGAAGCAGGGTTATTTTGGTGCCCACACTCTTTGGGAGCTTCTTTTCTATGCTGCTGCACTACACTTTTGCTGGCTTGGAGGAAGGCATATACCTTCAAACAAGATCACATGGAAAACTCTACAATCTATTGCATCTAAAATCCAAGACAAAAGTGAGGCACATACTTATTAAGGAGTTTTGTTCTCCTGATGCTGCTGCACTCACTGCTCAGGAAGAAAGTCAACTACAAATACCCACAGAATCATAGAACTGGACGGGACCTGCAAGATCATCAAGTCCAGTCCCCTGCTGTGGGCAGGAAGTTATTGGGCTCCAGTGAGCTCAACACGGTGCTTATCCAGCTTCATCTTGAACACTTCCAAGGATGGCGACTGCACCCTCAGCTGGGAGTGTGTTCCAGATTCTGGTAACCCTCATGGAAAAAAAGTTCTCTCCTATGTCCACCCTAAATTTTCCCTCCATTTTAGCTTGTCCCTATTGGTCCTCATCCTCCCTTGCGGTGCCTTCCTGAAGAGTTGCCCCTGAAGTGCTTGTAGGCGGCTATCAAGTCATCTCTCAGTCTTCTCTTACTTAGACTGAAAGGCCCAGTTCCCGGAGTCTCTCCCCATAGGGCCTATCCTCCAAGGCCCTAATCATACAGGTGGCCTTTTTTATACCCTCTTGAGCTTATCCACATCCTTCCTGAAGTGTAGTGCCCAGAACTGAACACAGTATTCCAGCTCTGGCCTCACCAGCACATAATAGGGAAGCAGAAGCACTTCCGTGGATCTATTGGCCACATGTTGGCTGATGCAGGCCAGAGTTCAGCTTGTCCTTCTGGCAACCTCATCGCACTGTTGGCTCATGTTCATCTTCCAGTCTATCACGACCCCCAGGTCCCATTCAGATGCTGTGCCAGCCAGTGGACCACCATCTATCCTATAGTTATGGTGAAGTTTCTTCCCACTCAAATGAGGAACCCTGCACGTCTCCCTGCTAAACCTCATCTGATTCCATTCCGCCCATAAAACCAGTCTGTCATGGTCATCCTGGATCCTTACCCTATTCTCTGATGTACCCATGTTTCCCCACAGTATCATCCACAAACTTAATTAATGAGCTTTCCACCCCCCTCATCCAAGTCACTAATAAATATGTTAAAGAGCACGAGTGCAAGCAAAGATCCCTGGGGGACACCACTGGAGATGGCCGTCCAAGATGAAACCATCCCATCAATTACAACTCTCTGGGAACAGCCTCCACACCAGTTGCCCATCTACCTCACTGTA